TGTCACAAAAAATACATTAAAAGTATAAAAAGCTCGAGGGATTCCTTAATCTTCCCACCAAATATTTCTGGATGTAAAGAAATTATGTTATTTGGCAAAGTATTGTAAAACTTAAACGCCCAATAATTAAGACTGTCACATGAATTGTTCAATCTTCACCTAGGGAGTTTTATTAAGTAACCTTTCCTAGTAGTTATACTCGTCCTTTACTTTAAGTAAATTTTATAATTATAATATAAGTATTTAGTAAAACTAGAAATATGTAAACAAGTTAACGCGAATATTTTTAGGCTTTTAAGTAAAATTTTGATATCTTAAGTACAATTCGGCACCACAGCCTAACTTTCAAATGATTCTTAAAACCCTAAATGTGGAGCCCGATTACAAACTTAAAGGGTTATTTTAAGAATTATTTCTTTCCAAAAAGTGATAGAGAGAAAGAGAGAAGAAAAGAGCTGTAGAAGAAGGGAAGTGGGAAAGAAATGGAGAGAGAGAGAGAGAGAGAGAGAGAGATAGAAAGAGTGAAGACATAAAAAAAGGAGAGGGAGAGAAAACCAGAGAGAGAGAGCGAGAGAGAGTGAGAGTGAGAGAGAGGGAGAGAGAGAGAGAGAGAATATAAAGAGCTATAGAAGAAAGGAAGATGGAGATAAAGAGAAAGACGGAGTGAGAAAAGAGAGAGAGTGAGAGAGGGAGAGAGAAAGTAACAAAGACATAAAAAGAAAAGAGAGGGAAAGAAAACCAGAGAGAGAGAAGGTGAGAGAGAGGGAGAAAGAGAGAAAAGATAAAAAGAACTATAGAAGAAAGGGAGAAGGAGATAAAGAGAAATAGAGTGAGAAAATAGATAGTAAGGGAGGGAGCGAGAGAAAGAGAGAAAGAGTGAAGATATAAAAATAATGGAAAAGAGAGATAAAGAGAAAGAGAGAGTGAGAAAAGAGAGAGAGAGAGAGAGAGAGAGAGAGAGAGAGAGAGAGAGAGAGAGGTAAATAGCTATAGAAGAAACGGAGAGGGAGATGAAGCGAAAGAGAGGGTGAGAAGAAAGGGAGAGAGAGATAGAGAGGGAGAGAAAAAGTAAAAAATAAAAAGAAAGGGAGAGGGAAAGAAAACCAGAGATGATGATGATGATGATGAACGTTTTATTTATCAATCACACAAGATTTGTTCTCAAGGACCATTCTTACATATAAGAGAGAGAGAAAGAGAGAGAGAGAGAGAGAGAGAAAAGATATAAAGAGCAATAGAAGAAAGGGAGAGGGAGATAAAGAGGAAGAGTGAGTGAGAAAAGAGAGAGAGAGAGGAAGAGTGAAGCCCTAAAACTAAAGGGAGAGGGAGTGAAAAGTTGAGAGAGAGAGAGAGAGAGAGAGAGTGAGAGAGAGAGAAAGAGAGAGATAAAGAGCTATAGAAGAAAGGGAGAGGAAGATAAAGAGAAAGAGAAATTGAGAAAAAGAGAGAGAGAGAGAGAGATTGATTTCCGTTTTATTTATATATACATAATCAAGATTTGGTCTCCAGGACATCTAAAGTGAAATACAATGGTAGATTTCAATAACTACTCTACGTAATCTTAACAAAACAATTTCTTTTTCATACAACAGTAATAAATAAAATTCACGTATGATAAACATAACAAAAAAACAAATAAAAATAAAAAATTTAATTTCTCCTTACTTAGACAATTATTTACAAACAAAAATTCAAAAATTTGGAAGTGTAGTTGAGCGAGACCACACACTTCTAACAAAAATTGCTATACGAGGTATCATTTTACAAGTAAACAATTACGTTGATTTACATACAAGAACAAATTTTGTAGATAAAGTAAGATATTTTTAAACTTATGTTTACTACATATGTTTACATTCATGTGGGGAGACATTTTGTATTTTTAATTTTATATTTGCTGAATTTAATTTACAACTTTTAAACATTTTAATGATTTAATGTTTTTAATTGTATTAGTGGAGAGAGAGAGAAAAAAAAGGTAGAGAGAGAGTGTGTGTGTGAGACTGAGAGAGAGCGAGAGGGTCAGAGAGAAAGAAGTTGAAACGGGCTGACTGCCAAAAGAGCGAGAGAGAGTGAAAGGAGCTAGAGAGAAGGTGAGCCAGGGTGAGAGATGATAGGAAGAGATATATTTGTCAGTAAGTGTGTGTGTTTTTGTTTGTCTGCGTGTGAGTGGATAGTTGAAGAGTGTCTGTATTAAAAGACAACAGAATTGTTTGGACGTCGATTCAGCCAGTTGTGAGCAGTTGATTACACGTTATTATGTTTGGTCCGCCTGAGTACACTCGAAGTTCGTTAAGACGCGTTTCGCCACCCCTGGTTCCGAGTAAGTGAAAGAACCGAGGAAATACATCAGAAGGTTCGTTGTACCTGTTCTATGACAAAGCGGGGTTAATTCTGAGGACAATGGAATACAGGGCCTTTCATGGGAGTAATGAAGCGGGCGAGATATTGGCCGCTACTCCGCACCGTCTTCGTTAAACAGTGGCCGCTCTCAATGCGAACATTAATTAACATTCCAAGAGACATAAGTTGTTTATGTTGCCGCCGCGGAAGCATAATGGGCTAACCGGCTTCCGGGCTAGGAGGAACGATGAAGAGAGTATTTTCCAATGCAAATAAAAATATCACCTTAAAAACCTCGTTTTATAATTTTTTCTGCATTAATTTACTCATCACTGGCACAAAAACGCCTAAAGGATTTATTTTAATGACAATCTATTGGATAAGTCCATTTCCATATATCAGCATGTGAAAGTACTTTTCAATCATAAGGAAATATTCTCTTTTCCTTCCTAAATTCTTTGTAACCATTTATAATATTTATTTGATTCAATTATTTATTATTAATATAAGAACCTTTTATGTTTAACGGTTATTGATTTATTTTTTACTTTCTTTTTTTTTTCTAACGTTGCAAGCGACCGACCGTAACTCTAATCCCGCGTGGCTCCGCGTTAGGCCTGCCGCCCTCATGCTCTTCTGCCTCCTCAATCGTCGGAACTCTCTGCCTTATTGATTGTACATGCCGCTTTGGCGGCATTTATGAAATGGCTTGTCATAAGCTACAGACACTCTTGGAAACATAAATATATGCTAAATTCAGTGGTTTTCTGTTGGTTAATTTTCTTAATCAGTCCTTTTTATACGTTCTTAAATGTTCATTGATTTGGGTATTCATGTGCTGTGTTGATTTTTTTCTCTATTTTCAAGTTGCTCCATTCTTTTACACTAATTTTACATCATGGAGCTATGATTGCAATTTGTTGAGGTTTTATGTGAATGGGTAGCATCGTTTCCGTATTTCACTCACCATGTTTAAACGCCTGAAAACCGCTTATGTTGGTAATTTAAAAAACGTCTGGCAGACAAAAACAGCAAGGATAGACAGACCAAAACGGTTAGAAACGACCTAGAGGATCATCGCCTACCATCAAGACGAAGAAATCTTACAATATGTCAAATCTAATATTTTATCTCTTGCTCACACTTTTACTACAGACACTTTAAGATAAATATATAATAAATTCAGCCCTTTGCTGGTAAATTTTCTTAGTCAGTGTTTTTTAAGGAGAAATAACTGCAATTTGTTTAGAGTTCAGGTGGTTTTGTGAATGATTTGCATAGTTTCCGATTTTTCACTCACCCTGCTTATAACCCTGACAATAATTTTATTAACTGAACATCGAACAATGCCAAACAACCAAAACCTTATGTAAATCTGAAAATGATTTCTTCTAAAAAAAAGATTTATTTATCAAAAACACAAATCTTCGTCAGTTTAAATCTGTGCTAATTTGATCTTCAACACCTTATATAATTTACGACCCAGTAGTTATTAGCATAAACGGTAACTGTTGTGTCACCGACATCTCACTCACTTCTGAAAACGGCTTCCCACAAAAAAGTTTTATTATTGTAAATGTTACTTAATCCTTTTTGGCTCCGCTTTCAAGTTCGTCCTTGGTGCTTTGAATGAGCAAGTCTGGGCGGATCCAGTGTCAAGGCCGAGGATAGGGATTGCATAACTTACATCAGAGCTACTGGACAATCACCTCCGATAATGGATCATCAACTATGACGTACTAAAGTCACGTTTATAATTTTCTCCGTTGTTACGTGTTATTATGTAGTAGTCATTGTTACGGTAATTGTACTACTAAGTATTGTTTCAATGTTGACGATCAGTAATTTGAACAATTCGGTTTGTACATATTAACAATCTTTAACATTTAAAAGAAATTGTGTTGATAAATTCCAGAGCAATCCCTTGATTTTAAACGTTGTGATTTATTATATTAATTTATACATGTTTAGCAATCATAATTGTCTATATTAATTATTTCAATTAATTATTCTTTATCTAAGGTCTTGGTTGAGATGAGAACGTTAATGTCACGAGTGGGTTTCGAACCCATAAACTTTGGCTCTAAACACTTGAGGCATCGCGTTCTGATTTATCTTGGCTGCATTTTATGTAGTGCGTTTATTACTTGATTTTTTTTTCAAGCATTTTTTAAGTTTTGCTGGCATCAAGAATCGCGATGATATCACAATAAAAATGTGGACGTGTAATTTTGTTAAAGCTGTGTACTTGATTGACCTGCTGGTTATGTCTATTTTAAGCTCGTTATATCAATCAATGACGTCCAAGTAGTAAGTTTTACATGCGATAGTTCCGCCAACCCAAAAAATTTAAATAAATTATATTAGCGACATCATCGTACAAACATAAAAAGGAAAAAATAAAATCAGTTTTATTTTCGATTCCAGTACACTGTAGAATGCAAGGAAAGAAGGGTGTATTCGCTAGGAGAACCAAAGTTGTTCAAAGTAAAATAAAAAAATAAATTTTTTTTTCGAAATTTTTATTCTTCAACCAAAAGAAGAAACCAGCGATTTTCAACTAATAATTTGTAGTCATAGTACAATAGTTTCAGTTGTAAGTCTGTTGTGTCAGCAGTATGGACAGATCAAAATGTTATAACCTTAATATGTCTTTCCTAATAAATTTGTTTCATGTGTTTTAAATATTGCAAAATATTTGTTTATTAAAGTAGAAGTGGCTTTACGTATGGGCAATATTATTGCGTGTATTGAGATAATAATTTCAGTTTCCAATTTGAAAATAGATTGAAGAAAAACTTTTCCAACACCGTGCAGTAATAATTTCGTCTATGATCGCAAATAGAGTTGAATTATGTAAAAACAGATGCTACCTCATGAATTTATTTTTAGAATAAAACCGTACATAATTACCACACACACACTAATTTTTTCTGCTTATTAATCTCGATTCTCTTGAGGATGAAGCTGTGGTTCTTTAAACTGTCCATGTTTTTGGTAATCACGTTCGGAGGATCGGAAGGAAGCGAGGTTTTCGGAGGGCGGTTTGCCAACGAAGGCGAATTTCCTTTCGTCGTGTGTATCTCTGGAGAGTACTTGTGCGGGGGGGCGCTGGTGACTAAGAGCAAGGTGTTGACGGCGGGTCACTGCCTGAAAATCGTTGACAAAAACGGCCACATGGTGGACCGCAATCTGAACCAGACTTACGTCATAGGAGGTTCCGTCAACCGCAAAGTGAAGAACGCAGGATACCAGGAAAGGAAGGTGAGACGGATCTGGGTTCACGAAGGGTTCAGGGCGAGGCCGAACCGCGAAATCGACTTCCACGACATCGGCGTGGCTGTACTGGTGAGACCGTTCGATCTCTCCCTCACGCTCCAAGTGACCAAAATGGTCTCCAAGGACAAAAGCGAGTTCAAACAGGCCTGGGACTCCATCGTGAGGAGCAGAAAGACTTGCCTGGGGGTCGGATGGGGGACTTCGGCACTCAAGTACGACCCGGCCACGGAGACGGACGTCACGACGGCCACCTCGTCCATTCTAAAAGTCATGGAACTCATCCCGGCGAATAACGAAACTTGCAACGCCAAACTTTACAGCCCTTTCGAGCCTGATATCATGACTCAGTTCGGCGAAGTCTGCCTTTTCTCTGCCAGGGACGGCGAGAGCATCTGCGGCGGAGATTCGGGCAGTCCTCTGATTTGCGACGGCGAGACGTACGGCCTGCTTTCCTATGGCTTCCAATGCGGCGAGAGGAACAACGCACAAGTCTATCTGCTCTATTGGCATTACATAGACTATTTCCATCTGAGCGGAGCTCCTCCTTTACACAACAGACTCGCGGGAAACGGTCTTTTATACTTACTTCTTCCTATTACTGTAACTATCACTAACACATTGCGGAACTGAGAAAACTCGGACTTTTTTTAAATTATACGTTTTGCCTGTTGACCTATCTTGACTTTAATATAGTTTTATCTTCTTTCGTTCTGTTTTCTTCTAAATACGTTTACAATAAGAAATATCCAGGACAATTGTCACAGTCCAAAATATACACCCGGGGTCGCAAAATATTAAATGCGAAGATTTTCCTTTTATGAATCTATATGGAAGAAATCGATGAAAAGTGAAATTGCTTGATCGGTCGGCCCACGAGCCCAAGAGATCAGGTGTTTAATCGAACATCTGCGAAAAATCGCTCAAGCTCAAATCACCTAACTCGTCTTTCGATTCTTATAAAATTACTGGAGAAAAGTCGAATACAAAAAAATAAGTTCTGGAGTTTTTAAATAATGTATATTGTTTTCATTTTATAATCATTAAAGTCATCATTGCATTAATGTAGTCATTAGCTGTTTATACATTTCAGAAACAATTCAGTATTGCTTGAAGTCAAGGGAAATTAATTTCTGAAGACCCGATCTTCATGGTTTATTCAACTGCTGATCAAAATCATAACATCTGTTTAAAAACAATTGCTATAACTTTATTATTAAAGCAAACTGTTTGAACAAAAATTAAAAAAAAATCAAATGTGCTAAATAAAATGTACCAAAATTCCTTGGACGTAATTACAATAAAGGAATTTATTTAAGTCAAAATTTTAAATAAGTGATCAATTCAATTTTTTAAGATAGTTTGCAACTGCAGAAGTCATATAAACCCTCAGCGTGTCGGTATTTTTGAAAAAAAATTGTAAGTATGCCGGTTTTGAATACAGGGCCACTGGATTCGAACCCGGGACCTTTACCTTACAGTGATGAGCGCCGTTTCAACGCCTAAACCGTTGCGGCCATCGACGCCCCTTCAATTTTTCTATTATTTTGTACAGAATAAAAGCACATATATATGCATAGTTTTTTAAAAATGAAGCGGATCATATTAGTTAATAGTAATATGGTAATATTATATTTACGTTTTTGAAGGAAGAAGAAGGAAGGATTAAAAAAATATTGAACAGTATTATCCAGCTGAACATAGAGCATAACATTATGGCCGTTTTAGTGCTCCTAAGGATCTCTTCGCTATCTATTTTTCCTTACCCTTCTGCCCTGTAAGGCCTGGAAACCCAGGCAAGATACATGTTCTGTAGTAATGCTGTTTCTTTCAGGGTACCCACGAAGTCCCATACTGTGACCGTTACGTCGGGTGAAGCTTGCGCTTGGTTATCAGAAAAATAGGAAACTGTTTTGGCTTAATAATATTATGCACCTTTATGGCGTATATTAACATGCCAATTATTACATCATATTGAAGTTCTTTTACTTATACTTAATTACATACCAATCTCTATTTGAGGTCGAGGCGTAGTTGGCGTCAATACCAACCAATAAATCCATTTATTGGTTGCATGACTGTAGTCGAAGGGGGCTGTCTAAGGTAGGTCATCGATGTTTGGCTCACGTTATAATAATAAGAAACTTAAGCAATTGAAGCAGTAGAGAAGCACACCCTAAATGCTACAAATTTTGATCCTTCCGGGATGAAGGTTGAAAATCGACTGTTATGGAGATTTTGACCCTCACCCTACTTTATAACGCTGCCCGGTACGCACAAACTTATCATACTTACTTTTAGTCTACGCGAATTCCTTGGCTGAGCTTTGCATTACTCAAATTATTCGAGAACTAAGAGCAAATAACATAACTGTCTTTAAGGGGACCGCGGTAGCCGAGTGGTTAGCATGAGAGACTCTCACGCCGCGGTCGTGGGTTCGATTCCCACCGTCGCCTCTGGCCCTTTTTTCACAATAACCCCCCCCTCAAATTTGAACACACATATATGAATTGTCACATGGCTAATATGCATAGTTCATGCACCTCTAGCTGAAGGTATGAAGATGAAAGATAGGTTTAACCAAACTGTTAGCACATGTGTAAACTGTGTTTAGTACGGGAATGATGAACCTACAGTTTCGTCTTGCCGGTTTGTTTTGATTCTTCACTCTTCTTATAACCTTGACCGGCACAAACGAATCATAGTTAATTCTAATCATCCAGAATGTTGGTTTGCTCAGACTACTGGAGAATCAGGAGGAAGTTTCATGATTGTAAAAACAGGTATTGCCGCTATTATCGTTGATGTTTTTGTCTGGTTAATCCCTTTCGGTTGCGAATTTCAAGGCATGCTTTTCTCAGTTTTAACGGTCGTTGTTGCATTTGTCTGGTGGTATTGGTTATCAAACATTTGATGCCACTGAAAGGTCATATTAATTCCGTATAATTTACTAGTAAAGACGTTCACTTCATTTTATTTGACGATCTTGATTTATATATTGTGATTCCAGTCATGTTAACACGTGTTAAATTATCGAAATAGGACAAATGATCTGGATTAGCATGTTTTTGGCCTTTTTTCTCAGCAAGGTAAAGCCAGAGAACAAAAATGAAACGGTAGGTTGGCGAATGGCGTACGTTGGAGAATTCCCTTTCGTTGTTGCCATCGGGGGTAGCAAGATGTGCGCCGGCTCACTGATGACGTTGCAGAGCGTAATCACTGCAGGCCATTGCATCTACTATGACACGGAACACGAACGATCGAGAGCTCTGAAATACATATACATCATCGGAGGAGTGGTGAAAATCGAAGCGAGGAAGATGTTACCGGGCAGACAAGAAAGACATCCTTCGAGCTTAAAAGTACACGAGAAATACGAAAGGCGAACGTTGACCAGTCGAATGAACCTGTTCGACATAGGTGTGATGTATCTTTCGAAGCCGTTCAAGGAGACCGAAGTCGTCAGACCGATGCGACTCATAAGCACCAGCATGAAAGAGTTCAAACGAGGATATCAGAGAGTGATCGACCGCCAGGAGAAATGCCACGGGGTCGGATGGCACTGGAACCTCAGCAATTCCGAGAGGAAATTGATAGTTATTGAACTGATTCCCAAGTCGAACACTTTCTGCTCTAAATTTAAAAAATCCAAGGATGAGGACCAGAGCTCCCACGGGGAAGTGTGCCTAATGCCAGCGAATCCGCACAAGTCAAACTGCCACTGCGACACCGGCGGCCCTCTCGTCTGCAAAGGCTTGACCTACGGCGTCCTCAGCACCGGTTTCGAATGCTCTGACACAACTAAACCAGTCTATTATTTTCTATTTTGGTCTTATATGGAGTATTATGGAATAGGCAGTTCCCCTCCGAGATTGTTCCATTCAGATCTAGCATGGAAATGCGCAATGATCATCTTTATCATGCGTCCACCTTTCGTGACACTCTCATGGTAAAACAAAGGGGAAAAACATGATTCCTGTAGGGAATTTTTTTAACGATATATTTATTATTCCTTGATGAATAGTATTTATTTTTTATTTTCGAGCATGAAAATAAATATTAGTACAAAATACCAATAAAATTAAAAAACCTTTTTTTTCAATTAATTAATCTTTATACCAATACCTTAGGTTGAGATAAAAAAAGTCAGTGTCACGAGCGGGATTCGAACCTACGACCTTCGGCTAAACCACTTGAGCTATATTGACTTCGATCCACTGGACACCGACTTTCCATCTCAACCCACCCACAATTTTCCCTCCTTTTTGCCATTTTTCAAACGTCGTTTAATCTATTTGATTCTCGGCGACAAATGAAATGGCCACGGAGAGCTTTAGTGATGTATACTTCATTTTTGCTTATTACATTTATTAGGTTTCGTGGTCGGGGACCGCGGTAGCCGAGTGGTTAGCGTGAGAGACTCTCGGCTCATAGACGCCGTGATCGTGGGTTCGATTCCCACCGTCGCCTCTGGCCCTTTTTTCACGATACCCCCCCCCCCCAATATGAACACACTTACAAGAATTCGTCACCATGGTTAATATGCATAGATCATAAGGTAAAAAAATGGTCCTTTCGACAAAATAAATTCTTTTCAATTAATTAAAGTTTTTGGTTGAGATAAAAAAGTCAGTGTCACAAGCGGGATTCGAACCCACGACTTTCGACTAAATAGATTACATTTGAAAAATGGCAAAACGGAGGGATAATTCAAAAGGTGGGGTTGAGATGGCAAGTTAGTGTTCGAGTGGATCGAAGTCACGATAGTTTAGGCGGTAGAACAGCGGCGTATTCAGCCGAAGGTGGTGGGTTCGAATTCCGCTTGTGACACTGACTTTTTTATCTCAACCCAAAACCTTAATTAATTGAAAATTATTGATAAAGTAGTTTGGTCTTTTCCGACCATTTCCGGGTGCTTATCCTCGCTCCCTTCGGCTTCTCACACTTTTACTGCCTGATCTGAATGATTTCTGATTTAATTTATTCTCGGCGTCAAATGAAATGGCTCTTATACTTCATTTCAACTTATTAAATCCATTAGAGTTCGCGGTCGGATTGACCAAATAACTGCTTTCAATTAATTAATCGAAATGTGGGTTGAGATGAAAAGTTGGTGTCCGGGTGGATCGAAGTCACGATAGCTCAAGTTGTTTAGCCGAAGGTCGTCGGTTCGAATCCCGCTCCTGACACTAGCTTTGTCATTTCAACCTCTAACTCTAATGGATAAAAAATATTATTTTTTTTATATGACCGTAGAAACTGAAAATATTAATATGTGATTAAATATATTTTTCTAAGAAATAAAATTTTGCTATATGTATAACTGTTTTCAAATTGAAGCCTTTAAAAATGAAAGAATTTAAAAAAAATAAAAATCCCAAGATTAGACTAAGAGTAAATAACACTACAACATACAAAGCACACTGTCACTATATAAAAATAGTAAGTTTCTTCTTTAATGTTGCCCTTCTTTTTCTTTCTATAAATAAAAATCATTTTTGTATGCCACATATTTTACAAATTTTGTTTTTATGAAAATGCAAATTGTTTTTTATGAAACATTCTTTAAAATAATAATAAGGCATTTTTCTACTATAAATATCGTTTATTTGTATTTGTTAAGAGGCTACGGTGTAGATGATGTTTAATGTGTGTAATTCGATCGTTTTCGTTCATTTTGGGCCGCCTATCCTCGCTAATTCGGCCCACGCGATCCGTCCTGGGGAAAACGATCGGATGTCAATCAAACTCGATTCCGGCATGCCGCAACCTACTCCCGACCCTCAGCACTCCCTGATCTAAGAAGGGATCTAATTGTTGCACTTTATTTGAACAATGCTCGCCTTTTTCTAACCGTGTCCAATCTAATGCGAAGTACTCTCGTTGGATTGACAAACTGTCACTTCCGAGATATTCGAATTGTCCGAATCAATATAATTACGAAGGGCAAATTTTCTTAAAAAACGCAATACGTAAATCATTAGGCTTTATAACTTGGTATAATTTCAACATCGTTCTTCAAGCTGACTTACGACATTATCGACCGGAAATAACGCTTCCGATTATAATTTTGCGCCGTTCCTCCGGCAGATCCGAACAAATTGGACCCCTATTCATAGGCAAAATATCTTCCTGCAACCTTAACCAACAAGGACCTTCCCAAATCATGACCTACCAATTCAGGTCGAGTGGAGACCTAATAATTAATTTTTGTCTTCTCTAGTCCATATTGGGTGTCGCAGAGAAAGTGCGAAATTTTTTTTGGGTGGTAGTACATTCTATTTGCAACATATTATAACCTATAGTCAGTCCATTTACCTATCTTCAGTCCCCGACGAGTTTTTATTAGTTTTTCCATGGAAACTTTACTTTACTTGAGGCTACCTCAGTTTTAGATTCAAACACCACTGAACTGTATATTTTTCATTAAGGAATTCCCACGCGAAAAATCTATGAAAGTAAGATCGAGGGAACGTAGTGGCCAAGGGATGACTCTTCCTCTACCAATCCACATGGGATAGAGCTAGTTGAACCAGGCACGCATTTGTTGGGTGTAGGTGTAAAGTTCAGATTTAAAGATTAAAATCCTCGAAGCATCAAATAAACTTAGAACTAATTTACCGACACAAGTAAAAGTAAGTGCCATGAGAAAAAAAAAGGCACGGATGTGTGTCAGACATCATAGCCATTAATTTGAAAACGATTTGTAATGTCTAATTTTTGTAAATACTTCAAAAATTTATTGTGTATTAAATTATAAAACTTGAAAACCAAACAGTTCTATTTATTTATTTAGAAATCCTGAGGTGCGGTCTGGTGTGATGTAGTTTTCAGAAAAACATTTTCTTTATCGTGCCAACGTTTCGATCTTTGAGATTGAGATCATCTTCAGGGCCTGGGATTTACAAACATTGTTTACATATAACAATTACATTTTGGATGTGGAAAAGTGAATTTATACAATGCAAAATATATTTTTTATATATTCAATCAAAGTATTTCTACTCACTCAAAGAGTTTTTCTTCTGTGTAATTGTGCCCTGAAGATGATCTCAATAATGATCGAAACGTTGGTACGATAAAGAAAATGTTTTTCTGAAAACTACATCACACTCACGATTTCTAAATAAATATCGATTAACGGTCACTAATCACCACACAGTTCTATTTATGATCATCACCTGTACCGTGATCGTTATCTCATGTATGTTTTTCAACAGTTGATAAGCAACTAGTCCACTACAACAACGAGGGATTATTGATATTTTTATACCATTTGAAAGCTTATTAAATAATGACATTTTTGTCATCGGTCAATCACGACGGATTAAACATATGTTGGAAGGAAATACGGAGTACCCAAAGATTTTTTCCGCACTTTCACTGTGACACCCTGTATAAAGAAATCTCATGATACAATAATAGTCCAATATAGAAGTAAATTTTGTTTTGCCATTTTTTGGTATTTGAGAAGAAAATAATTTAAATTTAAATTAGTAATTGTTTCAAAATTATAATTTAAAATTGCAAAAAATGGCGTTTTTATGTAAAATCAGTAACATTATAATTAACTGGAATAATTTTGGAATATTAAGAACTCTTAAAGTTTCTTAGATAGAGACGGAGTGTTTTCTTCCAAGCATAAACAGATTCAAACAAAACACTTCTTAAAAAATATAACTGGCTAGAATAGATACACATAATTTTGCTTTTGTTGTTCTTTTTATAACCTCCCCCCCATGGCAAAAACTGCTCGAAAATTGTTTTGCCGGAGTTGAAAAGAATAAATAATGGATTGAACAACTCTCCACCGAACTGTGGACGTATCTTTTAGATTTCAAAAGGTTTTCTTTCTTTTGGAAACGAACTTCTTTTATTTTTCATTACAAATTCACTTTTAAAACGCATTCGTGACTATCTCAGCGATTTATTTGTTTTATTTAAAAATTTCGTATGCTATTTTTTCACATCTGAAAATCTTTACTGTTCTTTTATTCTTTTTATCAGGTGGTTGACAGTGATTGTACGAGTCACGAGTTATTTTCTTCAGTTTTAGTTTATTATTGTATTTGCTGCCTAGTCGGTTTGGAGGATAGCTTATTTAATTTAGTCCAAGTGTTGTGGCCAGCAATATTAAAGTAATTATTTATATGCCATGGGTTTAGGTTCTTCTGCTTTTGTAGGCCTCTGGTCTATGGTCAGAGGCTTGTTACAGTCTCTGAACAACTTTAAAAGTGTCAAGTCTTTGTGCGCATGCGTGAACTAAAACTTCTTGTTTTGCGAAGTGTCAATCCGGTGTTCAGTTTGGATATCCAGAAAATTACCAAACCCGTCGTGTCGTCTGCCTTAGACAAAATCCGCCATCGTGAAGGCACTTTATCTAACCGCCGCTTGAATCATAAGAGGGGCTACATATCCTATCCGCTGACGTCGACTAGACATCAGGTAACAATCTCGAGCTGATACGTTGTGCTCGAGATTGCTCTTCTTATTATTAAATTCACTAATTTCGTGGTCCGCTTGACCAATTAATATATTACAATTAATTAAGGTTTGTAGTTGAGAAAAAAAGTCAATGGCACAAGCGGGATTCGAACCCACGATCTTCGGCTTGATACGCCGCTGCTCTACCACTTGAGCTATCGTGACCTAGAATTAATGATTTAAAATTAAATATACTTCACTAAAGCTCTCCGTGGACATTTCATTTGTCGTCGAGAATCCAATCCGATTACACGACATTTGAAAAATGCCAAAAAGGAGGGAAAATTCAAAAGGTGGGGTTGAGATGGGAAGTTGGTGTCCGAGTGGATCGAGGTCACGATAGCTCAAGTGGTAGAGCAGCGGAGTATCTAGCCGAAGATCGTGGGTTCGAATCCCGCTCGTGCCATTGACTTTTTTCTCAACTAAAAACCTTAATTAATTGTAATCTTCTTATTATTGTTGTTGCCCCCCCTGCCGCATCTACGGATTTGATAATTAAATTCTTTGCCAAGATGTCAACTCAAATATTTTGGAACTTAAACTCTTGGTTATTTATAAGATAATAAATTCATGTGTAAATCAAATTTAGTTATAGAGAATATTGTTAAATTAGATTAAAGTGCTGGCACCTATTACTATAATTTGTAAAGACATAATAACTGTTGAATCCGGATTTTTTTTGTTCTTATTTAATAATTAAATGTATACAAGCCCTAACGCGGATCCGAAATTAACTAATGCGTTTTGCAAAATTGTTCGGTCACTGTACACCAAGTCATTTGTTTTTATGCTACAATATTTAAATCTTTTTCATATTTTCATTTTGACACAAATTGTGTCAAATTTCGTATTTTTTGTTATTCACGAGGGCTCAAAGCTTCAGAATAAAGTGTGTTTTCATGTTCCTCTTCTTGTTAGATCTCTTATGTTTCGGACGTGCATTATGCTATCGTATAAAAGGTACTTCTGAAAACACCATGGCTCTTGCTTCAACCCCACTCCATCAGATTATTTACATGTCATAAATATTTTGATATTAAATAAGGTTTAATAGGTGAAAATAAGTGTAAACCTGGGTAATCCACTTAGTACGTTTCACTCAATTTGGCAGTTTTGGTTTTTGAGCCGTTTGAGAGTAGCAGTGGAGGTAGTTTGGCCCTGGTGTCACGCTTGTACGAAACAGTGGAAACAGGTTTCTCAACTTTTAGCTCAGTTGGTACATCCATGTTATTGAGCATATTGGTTCGAACGTTCATTATGTTATCATACCAAAATGTTTTATGATGTCTGGAAACAGACAAAGCACTTGATCGAAATTGTGTTCTGATCCCGAGTAGTTTGAGCTAGGGACGACTCATCCAAGGGAATAATGGTTGGATTTAAGATGTTGCGCCCGGTCATCGTCACAAACCCATCAAGTCCTGAAACGTCTACCCGAGAAAGGCAACGAAGATTGTCAAACCAAATTGGTCGGAAATGACCAGATATAGGCCCTAATTTTTTGTTGTTCTTCTGCGGCATTCTTCTTAGCCTTTTTAGCTCAATTGGAAATCTCTAGAACAAAATTTTTCAAACGAACGAACGTTACTTTTTGGAAAACTCATCATCTTCACTTAACTGCGTACAACCACAGCCCAATTTTCTCAGAGATAAAATCATTCAAACGATGGATAATCGCCTCGTCGTTCCACCACAATATACTATAATATCCGGTGATCGTCAGATGTGGCAAACAGCTGGGGGTACGGTACTCAGCATGAAATAGCCACATAAAAGAAAAGTCTAGACCACGTACAATCGATTTTTCCGATTCGGGGTCTGCCACCTGGAGATACCTGAGGTCGACATCGTCCCACCTACATATCTCGGCAAACCATGCACACCATTGTTCGCAACCTAAATTAGTCTGCCATTAAAATTTTTATTATTTGGTATAAATTAATTTAGGAAATTCCTTAGACAACAAATTAAGACTAAAACGGAATTTTGTGGGAGTCGACATAAGTTCTTATTAAAAGATTAAATAAAAGATGGTGATCTGTTATTCATCATAATACATGCTTATTATTTGCTTTGTTAGACGATATTTATGCTTAATAAGTTAATGCATAACTAAAGTGCTTTTTTGAAGAAATCATTTAACAATTTTTAATAATAGCGTGATGGTTTTGTTAAGCGCTTTGAAAATAGTCACATGTGTTAAATATATATTTATACAAGACATAGAAAACAAATGTTCATGGAACATTAAAATTGTCAATGCAAGAAAAAAATTTAACAGGCTTTATAACCATGTTTTTATGAAGCACCGTCGACAATTTAAAAAAATGAAGGAATAAAGTTTCAGTACAACGTTATGAAAAATATTAATAATATTTTATATGAGATTGACTGCAGATGTTCGGTGCCGCTCTTGCAGAGGCCCTCCGGCTTGTAAGTGTCGTTGAAATACTCCAAGTAGTTCCAGAAAAGTACATACATGTGCCCGTTGTCACGTTCCCCGCAGATCAAGGTGCTAGTGAAGAGGCCCCAGGCGTAACCGTTGCAGACGAGAGGACTCCCTGCATCCCCGTTGCAGGGCCCTTCTTGCAGATTGACAGCCTCGGTGCACGTTTCTCCCCGATCCGCCAGACGTTTGTATTTTTTTAAACATTGGTAGGTGTTCAACGGTTTCACTTCGACCACTTTCATGTACTGGGTATCCGTCTTCAGTTTGATTGTTTCCGACTTGGGGTCGCAATCGTATCTCGTCTCGCCCCATCCCATGCCGTAGCAAGTCACGTTCTTATAAATAATATCGGCGAACTCCACCCGTAGATCCAGGGCGTCCTTCGAAAAGATTTTTACTGGTTGCAAACGCGGACTGGGATCGAAAGCGGGATTCACTCGGCCAACGGCCACGTCGTTGGATTCGGTATCGGGAATGTAGTATCTGAACAAAGGATGCACGTGGTAACAAGAAACCCGTCGTACCTGGAGTGTTGTACTCCTAGAGGAACCTTCCAAACTGACACCGCCTCCTGTTACTTTGACGTTCTTCGGATTTGAAATTTTATGTTCGACTCCTCTAAACCCTTTGATGTAGAAACAATGAGCGGCTGTGATGAAATTGGTGAAAGACAACAGCGATCCGGCGCAAACCTTTGTCGGAGAATTAAGGTGAACGACAAAAGGGAACTCTCCTTCTTTAGCTTCCCTTCCGTAGAAGATTTTCAAATCTTTCGCTCCAGATGAAACTTGGAGAAAAATCGCTAACATAAAAATACAATTTTTCATTCCTACCAAAAAATTAATGCTTAAATAATCAACTGTTTTACATAGATTACACATGGCACAGACTGCCTCGATCGAAGAACCAAGCTCTTATCAAATCGGGATTTTTTTACTTCTTTTATCTTCATCTTATCATAGGTCCTTTTAAGGAATGAATATATTCGGTCTTATAAAGTTTGATAAACCCCCTTTTGGCCTGTGATCTATCTCAAAATCAAAGGAATCTTATTTTGGGAATAAATTATTAACACAATTGCAGATGGACACCTCTATATTGTTCCTTTAAAAATAAAAAATGTATTTCCTTAAGAATCAAGATACGTTATATTTAAAAAAGATATAAAAAAATAAAGCATGAACTTTTGCTTACAAGTTAACTAAATAGCTAAAATTAAATACTATGAGAATTAATAATATGGGCCTGAAGGGCAAAATTAAATCAATCAACTTTGATGGTCAAAAGGAAAAAAAATAAATAAAACCATAAATGAAAATGGGCCACACAACAGTAATGATTTATATGAATAAAAAATCAACGTGGATACAAATCTGATTTGGCTGGTTTTCAGCTGGATTTTTTCTTTTAGTTTAACTTCCAATGCCTAGGCTAGACTGAACTATCCGTCCTCGCTTTACTGCCTTTACCCTGGAGGGGAGAGTCTGGACATAATTGGATTGTTGTTATAATCTACAGTGTATATGTATTATGTACAACCAGCAGATTGGATTTCAATTTCTGATTTTGAGATTACGGGCTTTATTGAGTAACCTACCAACTGCCAACCGTTCAGTATTAGTAATATTTCATTAATCATACAAGAGGTCTTTTACCCATATTCTTTTCAATCGCCTTTTAATATTGTATCCACCCAAAGAACATTTGGTGCTCATTATTTCATTTAAAATATTTTAATTTTCATTAAAAAGGATTTATTGTTTCCGTATTTCAAAAAAAAAAGATTCGTGAAGCACGATTATTTTTATTGAACCGGAATAACTACTACAACAAAAATTGTTTTTCTTTTGACGAGTACATACTGTTCAAGATAGTCAATAACTGACTCTCAAATATTTACTACTACTTAGACAGACAGGAAAACGATTTGTGTTTTTCTAATTTATGTTTGTAAGCATGTGTATGGATGAAATTTTGTGTTCACCCCTGTTTATCCCATCTCATTAGGACTGATGTGGGTAATGGAGTAATGTTATGTGTTAGTGAGACTTTGTAATTTACTATGAAAACGTCTGTTATATGTTTCGATGGATGAGAAAACAATTGGCATGTGAAGATCTCTGAGAAGTGTGTTATTGTTTATATAGGAAAAAACTAACTTAACTAAAAAAACTTTGCACCCGTACATCAAGAAAGGTTTGAGTAGGTATGTGTATGTCTAAAATTTTGATTTTAATGGTAATGCTTATTTGGAGTTCGTGAGATGCGGTCTGGTATGATGTAGGTTTTAGAACAACATTTTCTTTATCGTGTCAACGTTTCTATCTTTATTGAGATCATCTTCAGGACCTGGGATTTATAAACATTGTTTAAATATTTCAAACACATGTAGGATGTGAAAAAAAATCCTACATTTATTTATAAAATTTAAACAATGTTTAAACATTTCAGACCTTGAAGATGATCTCAATAAAGATCGAAACGTTGGCACGATAAAGAAAATGTTTTTCTAAAACCTACGTCACACCAGACCGCATCTCACGAATTCCAAATAATCATTAACTAACGGTCACTAAACACAACACATTTTTAATGGTAATTTTGATTCTTGGTTTACTACGACGTTAGAACGTTACCTGAGAATTGGAAGGTGGAAATTTAAAGGTTACTTGTAAATTCGAGAATGCTTCAGAACTAAAAAGTTGCATGAAGAATTTCTGATACGAGTGACGAATTGACAGTGCTTGATACTTTGAATTGTGGTTTAGAATTTCAGAGAAAAATGTGGTTGGTTTCAGAAATTAAGAGACGCTTGCATAATTATAGCAAAGATAAGAATGACAGCTTGGTGGATGCTTAGGAATTAAAAAGTGCTTCAGAATTTGGAAGGTATTTGCGATTTCTTGGACTCTTCAGAACTTAAGAAATTCATGCAGAATTTTAAATATGAATGAAAGTTTGGACGTTACTGTGGATTGAATGGTATCTGGAAATTTGAAAGAAGCTTGAAAATTCGAAATTGCTTCCGAACTTAAAAGACGCTTGAAGAATTTCCGATATGAGTGACGAATTGACAGTGCTTTATAATTTGAGTGGTGGTTCAGAATTTCATAGAAATTGTGGGGTTGGTTTCAGAACTTAAGAGACGCTTGCAGAGTTATAACATAGATAAGAATGACAGCTTGGATGATGCTTAAGAATTAAGAAATGCTTTAGAATTTTGAAGATGCTTGCGATTTCTTGAACTCTACAGAACTTAGGAGATGCATGCAGAATTTTAAATATGTCATTCATATTTGAAACTCTGCATGCATCTCTTAAGTTCTGAAGATACCAAGAAATCGCATACGTCATCCAAATTCTAAAGCAATTTTTAATTCCTAAGCATCATCCAGCTTGTACGTTGTTTGTGGATTAAATGGTACCTGGAAATTTGAAAGAAGCTTGAAAATTTTAGATTACTTCCGTCCTTAAAAGATACTTGAAGAATTTCTGATATGAGTGATGAATTGACAGTGCTTTATAATTTGAGTGGTGGTTTAGAATTTCATAGAAATTGTGGGGTTGGTTTCAGAACTTAAGAGACGCTTGCACAATTCTAACATAGATAAGAATGACAGCTTGGATGATGCTTAGGAATTAACAAGTGCTTTGGAATTTTGAAGATGCTTGCGATTTCTTGGACTCCTCAGAACTTAACAGATGCATGCAGAATTTTAAATATGTCATTCATATTTGAAACTCTGCATGCATCTCTTAAGTTCTGAAGACACCAAGAAATCGCATACATCATCCAAATTCTAAAGCAATTTTTAATTCCTAAGCATCATCCAGCTTGTACGTTGCTTGTGAATTGCATGGTATCTGGAAATTTGAAAGAAACTTGAGAATTCGAGATTGCTACCGAACTTAAAAGAAGCTTGAAGAATTTCCGATATGAGTGACGAATTGACAGGGCTTGATAATTTGAGTGGTGGTTTAGAATTTCAGAAAAAATTGTGGGGTGGGATCAGAACGGACAGTCGCTTGCAGAATTGTACAGTAGATAAGAATCACAACTTGGATGATGCTTAGGAATTAAGAAGTGCTTCAGAATTTGAATGATGCTTGCGATTTCCTGGACTCTCTAGAACTGGAGATACTTGCAGAATTTTAATTATGAATGACAGTTTGGACGTTGCTTGCTAATTGAACAGTACCTGGGAATTTGTAAGGTTCTTGAGAAATAAAGGGTCCTTCAGAATTAAAAAAAAAATAAATTACAGATTTTCATATATAACCGACAGTTTGGACGGTGAATGAGAATAAGAAAGATGCTTCAGAATTCGAAGGTTTTTCAGATCTTAAGAGATGCATGCACAATTTTTTGTTATGTTTAACAGTTGTTCAAATGATGCTTCTGAATTTGGAAAGATGGTCGACAATTGGATATCTGACAAGCAGTTTGATAGGTCTTTGAGAAATTGTGATTTTCCATTTAAACGCTGCACGACAATGTAGTGGCAGATACTTTAGAATTTGAAAGCTGATTGGCAGTTTTTAAGGTGCTTGAGAATTGGAACTATGCTAAAGAATTAAATGGCGATTCGTAGTTTCGAAGGTGCTTAAGAATGTTAAAGGTGTTTGAGGGCTTGAGTGGTCATTTAGATTTAATTTAGGTATTTATATATATTTACATATTGGTCAAAATTCATAAAATTCATCAAATATTGTTAGGTAGTTAAATTACAGTTTGAGAGGTTGAGACATGATGAGTTTGTGAAAAAAGATCGAGAGTTTAACAGGCTGAGAGTTTGAGTTCATTACATCTCTGACCGGTTGACAGCCCTGAGAATATACATAACGAATTAGCTGTTTTCTTATTTATTGCCAAACCGATTTGGCAGAGAGTCGACTACTTTAAAAGGTTGTGTATAATTTGTAAACATCTTCAGGGCAGAGATGTAATAAAACAAACCGGTTTTCGCTATCCTCCGTTCGTAAAACCACATTCTCCGATGTCCGATTCAACCCCTAAGACTATTTTGAACGAGTTTAATTTAAAACATAAATTTAAAAAAATTAAAACGAGTTCTTTATAACATTGGTAAATATAATAAGCTAAGTCATAGTGATCTAAACCAAAGGAAACAAAGTTACTTTTTTTTAATATTGTCATTATTTGAAGGTATTATAATTTAATTTTAGTTTAATCTGTGATTATTTTTACATTTATCATTTAAAAGAAAAAAGAAATCAATAAAGTTTAATGTAGATAAAACATGTGAAGATAGCAGTTAAGATTATGCTCATTGCTCTTATTTTGGAAATGAATCCTTTGGATAGGTGTTTTTATGTTCGAAGAAAATCTAGGTGAAGCTAGACATGAACTATTATAAAATCACAAATAAGGATGCATCATCGATCATGAGACTCTAAGCACAAAATGGATTGCGAATTGAATCAGTCTTAAAATTTAAGCAGGTCTTATTAATAATTATTCCCATAGTAGGTAAAAGAACATCTTTGTTGAATGAGAAAACTGCACATTCGACCATTTTCACGGCCAAAGTAGTTTTATAAATAATTCCATTCCATGTTACTCCAGCCAGGGCTTCAATTATTCCTGGGGTGCTGATTAAAAATTTATAATGCTTGCAGACACCGTGGCTGATCCTCTCATCACACCCTCTGCGGATGTTCGCAAGTAGGGAATACATGATTAGCACTAGAGATGGGGCTTCAATGGAGTTAACTCACTTTACTTAGCGAACTTTAAACGCTCTGAAAAATGAATACCAAACCTTCAGCGATTGCTGCTCGACTTTGAATTTTGCTTTACCACCATATAGTAACTTTCAAAGAGACTTCACCGCCTCTCTTTATTCCTACAGCTTTTTGCTCCTACAGCTCTTTGCTCCTATAGCGCTTTGCTCCTATAGCTCTTTGCTCCTATATCGCTTTGCTCCTATAGCACTTTCCTCCTACAACCCTTTGCTCCTACAGTACTTTACTCCTACAGCTCTTTGCTCCTACTGCTCTTTGCTCTTATAGCTCTTTGCTGCTACAGCACTTTACAGCTACAGTTCTTTGCTCCTACAGCTCTTTGCTACTACAGTTCTTTGCTCCT